ACTTACCTTGCAAGCAACCAATGTAGGTTTGGTCTCCAGCATTCCGTATGGCCCCCTGAGCCAGCCAGGAATAAGTCCTGGCCACTGTTGGGTTTGGGCTAAATCCCTCCTCCTTCCACATCCCCCTTAGGTAAGCACAGACTTTTTAAAAAAAATTATTGAAGAACTGTGATTTATAGTTATTGATCTCTATCTTAGCTGAATTTTAGACATGAAGTATTCGAGCACCAGTTCCCCCACCAGTGTCAAATCCCTTCTATCAGTATTTTCAAGTTCCTTCTTCCCAGTCACCCATTCCTGCTACCACACCACTCCTCCCCATTACTCGCCCTATCCCCTTTACTTCCCATTGGTTCCTTACCTCATCTCTTTACTCCCTCCCTTGATTTCTTTCTTTCTCTGTCCTCTCCTTATACTCTTGGATCAAGGGTGATCTAAGTATTCCCCTCTTTGCTACATTGCATACCTTCATTCATTTATTGTATACACCACAAATAAGTGAGAGATCACCCTGTGCTTGTCTTTCTTCTGGCTTACTGTGTTTAACACGGTATCTTCCCGTTCCATCCAGGTTTCAGCAAATTACAGTTTGATCACTATAGCTCTGTAACACAGTTCCAAATTAGGTAATGAAATACCTTCCATTTTTTTATTTTTCAGTATACTCTTGGCTACGTGTGTTTTTTTCTGATTCTATACAGACTTAATTATTAACTTTTCTAAATCCTGGAAGAATGCCATCTGAATTTGGATGGGGATTGCATTTAATCTTTATGATAGCTTAGGTAGGATTTTAACAATATTGTCCATTTTAACAATATTGATTCTTCCAATCCATGAGCCCCCTCCCGTTGATCGTCGATTTGCTCGAGCGGGCCCAGTAACGTCTCCATTGGAGACTTTGTTGTTACTGTGTCTGGCATATCGAATACTCTCGGTAGCTTGCCGGGCTCTCCGAGAGGGGCGGAGGAATCGAACTCGGGTCGGCCATGTTGGCCGCTTGTAAGGCGGACGCCCTACCGCTGTGCTATCACTCCAGCCCAATCCATGAGCATGGGATATTTTTTCATTTTCTAAGGTCTTTCTCTTAAGTGATTTAAAGTTACCATAATAGGGAACTCTTATGTCTTTTGTTAAGCTGATTCCCCAAAGAATGATTTAAAAAAAAAAACTGACATTGGATGCCCAAGAGATAGTACAGAGGATAAGATGCTTGCTTGCCTCTGCAGCTAACTCCAGTTTGATCCCTGGTACCACATATGGTCTCTGAGCACCACCGAGTGTGCCCCCCCCCCCCCCCGAATAAAAGGCAGCATATCGTGAGTTGGGTATGGGTCTTGGAAATGAAAATCTTAATCATAATTTTTTTTTAAATGATAGGCAGGGTCAGAGAGCAGCTCAGTGTGCTGGATAAAGTGTATGCTTTGCATGTAGGAGGCCCAGGTTTGATCCCCAGCACCTCATTCTTCTCCAGAGCACTGGGGTCAATCACCCCAAACACAGAGCTGGGAATACCCCCCCAAATAGATACAGAGATTGGCTAATAAAGTGTTTTGCCTAAAACCATGGATACTTGCTGCATGTCTCTTTAAATAAACCAAATATTTGGCAGGGAGAGAACTCAAAGGGCTGGGAGCCGTGCATGGTCCTCCGAGCACATCGGGCCCCCAACACCCTAACTTAGTTTTTGAAAATAAAATTTCCCAATTCTTGTGTTTGTGTTTTGGGGCCATGCCAGTCAGTGCTCAGGGCTTACTCCTAGCTCTGCTTCCAGAGTTAACTCCTGGAGGGCTCCTGGGATCATACAGGGCACTAAGGATCAAACCCAGGTTGGCCTCATGCAAGGAAAATACCCTTCCTGCTGTTCTATCTCTTCAGTCTTTCCTCAGTTTTTTTATTAACCATTATTCAGTAGTCATGTGGTAGTCATTTGGTAGTCGTGTGTAGCTGATGACTGTTAAATTGGAAAATGCAGATTTGATCTAGTTTTATTATGGAATGGTCCATTGAATATAGAATACAAAGTTTAGGAAATTAAAGATACTCACTTTATACATAATATTGATTAGTTTTTCTGAAGAAGCTGCCATACTCATTAATTGTCAAGGGTTACTAGTTTCTCAGTGGTACTTCCGTAACACTTTATAGTACATTGGATGTTAAGTAGATTTGTTGTGGTTATTTCACTACATATATACATATATTCAATCATTATGTTTTATAGTTGAAATTAGTCATGTAGGTGTAAATTATATACGTATATATGTGAATGAACTGGGGATATAATTCTATGGTTGAGTGAATCAGATATGGATCATGTAATAGTATATTTAAATTTATTTTTTTGTGGGTGATACCTGGCATTGTTCAGGGGTTACTTCTGGCTCTGCACTCAGGAATTACTCCTGGCAGTGCTCAAGAGACCATATGTGATGCTGGGTCAGTCATGTGCAAAAGCAAGTGCCTTATCAGGTGTACTATCTCACCAGCAGACATATTTAAATTTTATAACCAAAAATTTACTAATGCATGTTTTTGCAGTGCCACGGTGTTAGGGCCTGGGTATAATCGTTGATAGAGCCAGAAGTAACCCCAGAACATTGCCAGGTGTCACCCACAAAACAATAAAAAAGGTAAATTTAAATATACTATTACATGGTCCATATTTCGTTCTCAAGCACTGAAAATATGTCAGGAGTTAATGTGATGTGTACTTTGGATCTATTATTTTAAATAATATTGAAATATTCTACTTTGGTGGGGGTTCTTGTGTGGTGCTGGGGATCAAACTGTGCCAATGGCCTGCGCAAGGCATTGCTCTCCCACCGAGCTACAGCTCAGCCCCATGATTAGTCAATAAAATATACTTTGAAATGTTTTTATCCCCTCCCTCCACCACCCCTTATTGCTGTAATTAGGGCTGCAAACTGGCCTGGCTGTGGCATTTGCCAGGGTTGCACATCAGGTGTCGGTGCTTGAACCACTGAGGCTGAGGCATTTCCTGGAGTTGTTCCTGCAGTTTTGTCGTCTCCTGCTTTGTCCTTGTGCCCATCAGGGCTCTTCATTGTACTCACATATACCTGGCCGCAGTCCCACTTGGAGTCACAGGCAGCAGAGCTGCCAGACTCCGTTGGAGTTGCGCTGGGGATCAACCTCTCAACCTTCTGCTCAGAATGGAGGTATTTCAGGAAACTGAGCCAGCCCCAATAAAGGAGATTCTGAATTGTGATGTGTTCATTTGTAGGAATGGACTACTAGAAATTTTGGAACTAAATTCTATCATGTCCATTATATAGTACTGTATAGCTGTTTTAGAGTACTGTATAGAAACCTATGCTCTAATAAGTAGTTCAAGTAATTTTTGATCTTTCTCTATGTACCTAAATCACCAGTGATGGCATTTGTGAAATAGGATAGATACTTTATGGCAGCCAGGGATGCGCTGGTGGTAAAATGTACACTGTGCATGCAGGAGACCTGGGTTCTATCTCTGGATCTCAAAGCAGAAGCAAAAGAGAAACATTGCATTTTTTTTCCCTCTTGGATTTTTTTGTTTGGTTTTGTTTTGGAGGACTACACCTTGCTAGTCCTTTAAGGTTCCTCCTCCTTCTGTGTCTAGGAGTTGCTCCTGGTGGTGCCAGGGACTGGACAAATTGAGCTATCTTTCTGGAACCATGTCTTGGATAGTTTTTTTCCTTTTGGAGGTACACCTGACTCTTCACTCAGGAATAACTCCCAGTAGTGCTTGGGGATTGGGTGCTGGGGATTGAACCCAGGTTGACAACATGTAGGCGAATGAATGCTCTACCTGCTGTACTATCACTCTGGCCCCAGTTTGGGGATTTTTAATTTGTGGGATAAGCCCTATTGTCAAACCTTATTTTATAAAGGCGTGTGTTGTGCCTTCTGCACCGTAGGCCGGCATCCTTTACCTGAGATGGAAACTCTTCCTCTTACTTGGGAGCATTGGCCAATTATCAGTCTGAGGATATCTAGTCTTGGCTCTCTTTCCCTCTAGAGACACATGTCCTGTCGTTCCTGACACCCCCTGCCTTCCCCCCCTCCCTTGGTATTTCTCTAAATTAATTTCTTAAAGCTGTTTTCACTTTTTAAAAAGCAGTATAAGGGCCCGAGTGTAGTGGGTAGGGTGCTTGTCTTGCATGTGGCTGACCTGGATTCAATCCCTGGCATCCCAGATGGTTCCCTGAGCCCCATGAGATGTGATTTTCAGAGTGCAGCAGAGCCAGGAGTAACCCTTGAGTTTTGCTGGGTATGCCCCCCCACCTCAAAAACAAACAAAAACAGTACAATTGTACCATTTTTTTCTATTGTTGTTGTTGTTGTTGTTGTTGTTGCTGTTATGGGACCTTACCCAGTTATTTTTGGGGAAGGATAGTTACTACTATTCAGTGACAGGTGTCCAAGCCTTGCATTTGAAAGGCACTTGAACCATATCCTGGCCTACTCATTCTTATGTGCCATAGAATGATGATTATGATCCATTCTGGCAGAAAACGATACACTGGTTTGAGTGACATGGGAGCACCTGCATTATTGCTAATGCTGCCTTTATTGACATACCAGTCCAGTTTGTTTGTTTGCTTTTGCGATGCTGGGGATTTAACCCAGGGCCTCACACACTGGAAATTATGTGCTCAGACATGATATTTCCTCCTAACCTTAGCTGTTACGGGAAGTTATTCAGGGGTGGGGCGAGGTCTTTTTTGTATGTGTTTTTTGTTGTTATTTTGCTGGGGGTGTCTCTAGCTGTGGTGGGGAGCCATTCCCAGCTATACTTGACCCAGCAACTTGAGCCTGAGTTTGGGACTCGAGGTGTGCTTGGGTGCTGTTCAGCCCAACCAACTTAGAATCAGGGATTGAACTTGGGTCAAGGCATTTTTGAACTATCTCCTGAGCCCACCCTTTTTAAATAAATACCATGTTAAATGTTTGCCAGTGTTTTGTTTTGCTTGCTAACAGTACTTTCCCTTCCTTTTAAGTACCAAAAGAATTGGTAGAGCTCCATTTGAAGTTGATGAGGAAGATTGGCAAATCTGTTACAGCAGACAGATGGGAAAAATATTTGATCAAGGTAAATATTTGTAAATTATTTTCTTAATATGTAATATGCCAGCATAAACTGATGTTTCATAATATGTTTAACTTTTAAAATAAACTACTGGAAGTGAGAGGCTCAGAAAAGCATCTGATCATCATTGATGTGTGACTCTTTTTTGCTGCTACTAAGTATTAGTGGGTTTTGCTTTTGTTTGGGGGACTGCACTTAGTCGTGCTCAGATTTGCTTTTGGCCCTGCACTCAAGTATCACTCCTGGTGGCTGTGGGGACCATATAGAGCTGGGGATCAACCTGGGTTGACCATGTGCAAGGCAAGCACTCTACCTGCTGTACTATCATTCTGGCCCCAGTAATGGTGTTTCAGCCAAGCAAAAGTCAGCTATTAGAGATAGGAGATAGGTTTTTTTCATGTATGACACTGTGGTTAGGACTTACATCTTACCTCATTTTAGGAGTAACATCATCACATCATCCTGGTCAACACACATAAGATATAGATAATACGCATCCAACAAATGTGTTTTTATTTTTTTTTCCCAGAGATCATACACAGAACTAGAATTCCTCTTAAAAGGTGAAGTGTCCAGTGATCTTTAGGTCACTATGGGAGATTTCCAAGTTATCCTCAAAGCAGTACTTGCCTTTAATAAGAAAAGTCTGACTACTCAGATAATAACCCTTATTAAAGGCAAGATTATTCAGAAAAGGCTATCTGGAATGCGGGGCTGGAGCAATAGCACAGAAGGTAGGGCGTTTGCCTTGCACATGATTGACCTGGGTTCAATCCCCAGCGTCCTATATGGTCCCCTGAGCACTACCAGAAGTAATTCCTGAGTGCCAAGCCAGAAGTAACCCCTGTGCATCGCTGGGTGTGACCCAAAAAAGGCAAAATATATATATATATATATATATATATATATATGGAATGCATCTAACATTTCACAACCACACAATTTTTCAAATTCTTACTTTCTTTTTTTGTTTTTGTTTTTCGGTCACGCCTGGCGATACACAGGGGTTCCTAGCTCTGAACTCAGGAATTACTCCTGGGGATACCCGGGGGACCATATGGGATCCTGGGAATAGAACCCAGGTTGGTCGTGTGCAAGGCAAAAGTGGTTACACTGTGCAGCCCCATTTTTCAAATTCTTAGCTGGTATACATAGCAGTGGTGCCCTTTGGAACTTGGATTCTGTATCATACCAGAATATTACATTGTATTTATTACTGGGTATTTGAAAAACTACTCTGCTTTTTAAAACAAAGTATGCTTGTATATATACCATCCTGTGATTACTGGGTCCCCTGGTATGTCTGGGGCCAATAGTTGTTGCCCTGGCTATGGATGTCAAGAACAGGTCGCATGTTGATCGCCAGACAACAACTTGTTTTTTCCCATTTTTTTAAATTGAATCACCTTGAGCAATACTTACAAAGCTTTCATATTTGAGTTTCAGTCATACAATGATTGAACACCCATCCCTCCACCAGTGCACATTTTCCACCACCAAATGTCCCCAGTACCCCTCCCCCCTCCTGCCAACCTCCCCCTACCTCTATGGTAATTTCCCTCTTACTCTCTCTACTTATGGGCATTATGATTTGCTATACAGATACTGAGAGGCCATCACATTTGGTCCTTTATCTACTTTCAGCACACATTTCCCATCCTGAGGGGGCCCTTCAGCCATCATTCACTTAGTGACTCCTACTTTATCCCAGCTGTCTTCTCCCCCAGCTCTTGAGACAGGCTTCAAGCCATGGAGCAATCTTCCTGGCCCTTGTGTCTGCTGTCCTTGGGTGTCAGTCTCATGATATTTTACATTACACAAATGAGCAGGCCAGACAACATTTTTACTGAAATTAAACAGGGCTAATATAGGGACAGAGGAACTGCTAAAGAGTTGGATAGGAGAGGAAACAATGCAGGGGAAGTATAAGACAAAGGAAAATCTTAGTATAAGCATGGAGAATTGTGAGTGCCCCACGGAGTTCTGTGCATTGGGAGCACTGCAGTGGGTGTGGCCAAAGGGTGGCCAGGAACTCACTTAGCATAGGCTCTCTGCAGGGGAGAAGGGTTACAAAGCTTTCATCATTGAGTTTGCTGTTTTATAGCTGTTCCCTTGTAAAATGTGAGAAATAAATGAGGTAATTTTATAATCCCCTGCAATTTATGACCATACAGCTTTTTTTTTTTTTTGGCTAGAGGGGGCTGGGTACACCGGGTTTATTCTTGGCTCTGCACGCAGGGATCACCCCTGCCCTACCCTCTGTACTATCACTCCGGCCCTAATGCTTGCAGCGTTTTAAAAATTTATTTACTATTTTTGTTTATTTTGGGACCACACCTGGAGCTGCTCAGGAGTTATTTCTGGCTCTGCACATAGGAATTTATCCTGGTGGTGCTTGGGGAACCATATGGATTGCTGGGGATCAAACCCTGGTCAGCCACATGCAAGGCATGCGCCCTACCCGCTGTACTCTCATTCCAGCCCTACTCACAACTTTTTAATTGAGATATATTCAAATACAGGTCAGTGTTTCAGTGTTTTTTTGTTTGTTTGGTTTTAGCTTATTTACAGTTATTACACAAGCTTATTTACAATTGTTACACATGGCTGTTTAAACCTGCACATTTTCATCATTTCAAAAAGAAACTCCATACCCATTATTAATTATTACTCTTTTCCTGAATTCTTAGCAACCACTATTTGATTTTTGGACTCTACAGATTTACCTATTCTGGAGCTTTTGTGTAACTTAAATGGTATTGGGGCCAGGGATTTTTCTAGCTCACGGGTAAAACACATACATTATGCTTGGTTTGATTATTGTCACAAGTAAAATACCTATGTACATAAAATGAGACGATGCATGTATGGCATTTTATGTCTTACTCCTTTCATCTACATGATGCTTTTGAGTTTCCTCTGTACCATAGCATACATGAGTGCTTCGATCCTAAGAGCTCACTTAATGTATCTGCTTAAAGCTTGGGCTGTAATTGTTGTATTGGTTTTGTTATTGGGCCATACCTGGCAGTGCTCAGGTGTTACTTCTGGTGGTGCTCAGGGGACCATATGGAATGCTAGGGGTTGAACCCCAGTTGGCTGTATGCAAGGCAAGCGACGTGTTTCCTATACTATCTCTCTAGGCCCCTAACTGTTCTTTCAGCTGTTATGCAAAGTGCTATTAAAAATTGTAGATCAGCTTTCCCCAATGCCACTTTTCCTTTATTATGACCCACATTTGATTGTGGTGCTTTCTTGCATGTACCTGTGTTCCAGGGAACCCCACTGTGCAAATGTGAGTGGCAGGGATCACATTTCAGTCTCACACTTGCAAAATGGGTCTCTAGTTGCAGGGCTGTCCCTGCGCCCTCAACTTGTAATTTTATCCTGGATCTTAGTTACAAGACCAGTGTTTTCAACTGCATATTGAACATCTTCCCTCAGAAACTGCTGGAAAGGGGCCAGGAGAACAGTGTGGGGGTTAGGGCCTGATGCCTCTTGTGCATCTATTTGAGCTCTGTTTCCGGCACCAGTTGGCCTCATGTGTCACACTGAATATGGTATTGGAGACCCCCAGCAACCTCCACTGAAGCCTTGAAAGCCCATGACTCCTACTGAGGTGACTTGGCAGCCCCCAACACCAACCTCAGCACCACATTCCTATCTGTAAATGAGCTCCAAGCGTCAGTGCTTCCCAGAGGCAATAAGCCCCAGAAAATAGGGCAAATTTTGCTGCTTTGCAATCCCTCTTTGGAACTTCTAAGTTCTAGAACTCAGGTATTTCACAGAACCAGTCTCAATCCTGAGGCTGTATCTGCCAGTTTAAAGGGTTGTGTCTAAGTTTGTAACCAGAGAAAAAGCTGAAATGGAATGGACTGGGAATACAGGGAAGAGTTGAAAGAATGGCTGGCCCAGCATCTCATATCATCTTCAGAACCCTCTTTTCAGTGTCTCTCTATCCTTAGGCAACTCAGTCAGCGCCATCTGCCATGCTCTTTTTCCCAGGCTGCAGTCTGTAGAAAATGGAGCCAGTGAGGAAACAAGCTGGATGTGCTGGTCAGAAGTCAGGGAGCAGAGACATTCAGAATTCTTGTACATTTATAAGCAAAACTTTATGAAAAGAAGAACTTAATGTCATTTCCACAAAAAGGCATGTTACTGAAACACATTTTTTTCTGTACCTTCATATTTACAGTCATAGATGTTGAAGATAAGAAGAGAAAAAAAAAAAACAAATGTTTTAGTTCTGCGTACAGTAAAATACCATTTGCCAGGCTTTTGTAGATAACATTTTAATCATTCTTGGGGCCAAAGCAGTGGTACAGCAGGTAGTGCACACATCTGGCCTGGGTTCAATCCCTGACACTCCTTATGGTCCCCCAAGTACCACCAGGAGTGATCCCTGATTGCAGATCCAGGAGTAAGCCCTGAGCATAGCTGGTTATGCCCTGCCCTGCCCCCCCTCCAATACTAAAGAACTATAATCATTCTCATAATCTATTCAGCTTATATAGAAATATACTGATCTATTTAAATAATATCTGAAGACTGTGGTTGCTAGTTCAGACTCGAAACTAGGAGACCTACAAGGTAGAGTACGTTGTAAGTCAGAATTTCTTACTCTACATGCTTTTATCCTGTGAAATAACACATTAAGTGGCTACACATAGACAGATGAATTGATTAGCAGATTCATGCAGAAATCTGCTCCACCCAGAGGATGCTTAGCTTTTCCTCAAATTCACGGGGAAGCAAACCTCAGGCAGAGGGGAAGGAAGTTTTCTTGGTGGTATACCGTAAGGCAGTGTTCCTATTCACAGACACGGGAGTGCCATGTGCTGGCACACATGCACAGTGGGTCAACTCATACCCAGCTCTTCCTCTGACTCGTTTGGTGAGGTATGAGAGGTGGTCAGTGTTTGGCCAGGAAAGTGGGCTCTGATCCTGAAGAAGTCCCACTGGCTGAGGGACTTGCCTCAGAGTTTCCTGACCAGAGTCAACTCACTGTGGTGGGCTCCGCTCCTGGCTGGCTGCTCCAGATTGTAGCTGTGGAGGTCTGGTCCTGAAGGATTGAGAAGGAGCCTCCTTGGCCATCATCCGTCAGGGTGGAAGCTCCCACCTAATCTGTGTTTGGGGTAGGAGTAGGGAACTTAGAGGGAATGAGGACAGGTTGCTGCTCCTCCTGGAGGCTCTTGTTGCTGGCCTCCTGAGGCATATATCCTGTCAGTCTCCGAGTCTTAACAAAATCTGGGCAGAATTGGAGACTTTGCCCTTCTCAAGCTTCTGGCCAGAAGAGTAAAAAGGACAAGTGTCCTTTTCTGAGAGTCCTGATTCCTTCTGATAGGTTTCAGTTACTGGCTTTTATTGCTGCCTTATATTAATTTTGTCTTGACAGTAATGTGCCCTGATAGTAATGTACAAGTTAGTAAAATTTTTAAAAGTTTCGAAGTTTACAAAATTGTTCATAATACAGTTGTTTCCGGCATTAAGTGTTCCAAACACCACCAATGAATCTTCCATCCACCAGTTGTCCCCAGTTTCCTTCCCAACCCCAACCTGCCCCCATAGATACATAAAAATTTACTTTATATTATTTGTTCCAACAACATTTAAAGAAATGGTGGATATAATTATTAGAAAATAAGTAAAATACAGTTTTTGATTGCTGTATGATTTTGACCTATGTAAATAAGGAAATTTAAGCCATTTAATACAACATAGTGAAATGCCTATTCTCATTTAAGTAAGTTTTCAACTCTGAAATCTAAAATATATTGCACTAAATTTAATTTTGCACTTGTATCATTATGGTAATAATCATGTCTTACCTGTCATTAATAAAACTTAAAAAATTCTGGTTTTGACATTTATATGAATTAAGTAAGGCCTATATATGTGATTGTTTTTGCCGTGCCCTTTATTTAAACACTGGTTTACAAATTTGTTCATGAAGATTTGTTACAAGTATTCAGTATTTCAGCACCAATGCTACCACTACTGTCCTCTTTCCTCCACCATTGTTTCCATTTTCTCAACCACCCCTCAAGCCTACTCCTATAGCAGACTGACAGTAATTTATTTTATATTGCTTGTTGCCACTAAGTGGCTAACAGAATGATCAAAAAATGTTTCTATAGAGGAGAATTAGTGAAAATTGTTGTATCTTACCATGGAGACATTAAGTCCTTTTCTAGGGGCTACTAAACTCTTACATAAGTTACCCTTCAGTGTTAATGTTTTTGTTAGTCTAGATTGGTTGGTTTCTATGTTGCGTTCCATCCATCTATTCATGTGATGTTAGTGTTGTAGCTATTGGAAAATAGCTCCAGAAAATCCAGAATTCTTAACTGGATGCTTCAGCTGTAGTTAAATTTTTAACTGGAACATTGCTCTGGTTTGTGTATGTGACTGCTGGAGCTTCCGTAAGTACAGGGAAGTGGGGGGAGGTAGTTCATCCGACTTTAAGAGAGCCTGGACATTTCAGTCACTGGGACCTGTGTACCTTAGTTTTGGGCAGGTTAATTTCTCTGTGAAGCTCAGCCCCAATATGATGGAATTCTGCCAGAGGCATGGCAGTGACTTTGGAGGGTGGGACCAATTGGCTGCAGGGCTTTTTTGCCTCCCCTCCCCGCAGTGCCCCAGATATCTTAGTCAGGAATGGGTGTCCGAGAAATTTTTGTGGCTAGTTGATCCCTTTTGAGATTTATTTGTGAGTCTCTGGAACTAGGCCAGTAGATGAGGCTGTGGAGGTCTTTCCTTTGAAGTGTTTTAAGTAAAGGGCACCATCCTGTTCTCAGTCCTTGATCACAGTGCTCATGGATGCAGTACTGCTGTCGTATGCATTCTTGGCGCTTCCTGTCCAGCAGATTGCCCCAACTCCCTTAGCATCTTACGTCCTGTGTGGCTGCTCTCCTTTGCAAAGTGCACGAAGTCACTGAACACATGCACCTCTTCCCATGCCCGATTCCTCGATTCCTCACCTTTAGAAACGAGTGTTAGCACTGCTTTTTTTCTCATGCCCCAAAGTGACCCTAAAACCCAGGGCCTCTTTCTCCTTTAGCTTTTACTTAGCGTGATGGCCATCTAAGTCTTCTTCACGCACCCTGTCACAAGATTTTTCTTCCTGGAACACGTAGCAGAAAGAGAAATTAAGTTAATCTAAGTTAAAGGTACGTCCTAGAAAGACTTCAGTGGTCAGGAATACACTCTTGACGCATTGATTGGAGAGTTTAGCCACGTGTCTACGTTTATCAAATCTTCCTGAGTCTACTCTACTCTAGGCATTGAGGTGTTTAAACACGCTGTTGTCCTTTACCAAAAGAAATTTCTAGGCTATTTGGAGAGATTAAATCATATAATCCCTCTAATTGTTTATGAACAATGCTGGTGCATTTAATGAAAATGCCATAAAATTGTGTTAGGGGAAAAGTGTATGTGCTTGGAAAATAAGAATAACAGAGTTCTATTTTTATCTTATGTTTATTTATCAAATAGTAGCGAACTTAAACAATAAGCATTTTGGGAGGAAGACAGGGAGATGGCAAATAAGCACATGAAAAGTTGCTCATGGTCACTTATTATTAGGGAAATCCAAATCAAGACAGCAGTAAAGTTTCATCTCACGTTAGTGAGAATGACACATGTGAAAAAAATGCTGGAAATGGGGTGGAGTGATAGTACAGTGGGTAGGGCACTTTGTATGTGGCCAACTTGGCTTTGATCCCCGGCATCCCATGTGGTCTCCCATGCCCTGCAATTGTAATCCCTGAGCTCTGACCTCCAGGTGTAGTTCCAAAACAAAAAACTGGAAGCAATTTATGTTTGTGCAGATGTGATAGTAAAGGAATTCTCATCTACTCACACTGGGAATGTTGTCTAATTCAACCCCTAGAAAACAGTACAGATTTCTCAGTAAGAAGAATTGAGGTACAGTATGACCCAGCAGTTTCACTTCACTTCTGGCTATATTCCCCTAGGACACAAAAACATTCAATATTACATATCCATGCTATTAATTATTGCAGCACTTGGTACAGTAGTTTAGATGTGGATTCAGCCTAGGTGTACAGTGACAGATGTGGATTCTGAAGATGTGGTGTATATACACATATATAATAGAATATATGCAGCTATAAGGAAAGATGAAATCATGCAGCTTGGTCCAGCATGGATGGAACTAAATGAAGCCAGAAGGACAAACTCAGGATGATCTCACTTATCTGTGATAAATAGAATAACTAGACAAAGGAATGCACTGTAGTAAAGAGACGATGCCTAGATCACCCCTGGCCTCAGGATATAGAGAAAAGGACAGAGAAGAAAAGAAATTGGAGGATTGGAGGAGAAATAAAAAATGAAAAGATGAGGAAGGTATAGAAGGGGGAGCATGGGCAAAGGGTCCTGGGTGCATTGGTGTGTAGAGGAGTGGTGTAACTCTGTATCCGAATTATGGAATCAATACTGAGGAAATCAGGAGATCAGAACCACAGCATCCAAACTTCAAAATGTGTCTGTCAAAGAAGCAAACTGGGGGACTCTACTGGAAGGAAGTTGAACACTCGTGGTAGCACTGTTGGAACATAGTATGTCAAAAAAACTGTTGCTGGAACATAGTATGAATAACTGTAAATCATGATGTTTTAATAAAAAGTTTTATTAATAACTGTACAGCAAAACTAATAATGTAAAAAAAATAATTTTATATAGTAACTTTTTCTAACAGATATGTCAAGAATTCAATAGCACCTGGGCGTGGGAAATGGAGAAGAAAGGCTACCTTGAGATGAGTGTCGAATGCAAACTAGCACTCTTAAAGGTAATATATTGATTATTCTTTGTAAATATTTTAGGTTTTTTTTTACTGGCTTTGGGTCCATTTGGTTGGATTAGAAAACAAGCTGTGCTGGGATGGAAGCTCAATGGTAGAGCGATTGCTTTGTACGTGTGAACACTGGGATTTGATACCCTGCACTATAGAAAATAAATCAATACAGCAGATAGAAAGTGTTTTCCAGGGCCAGAGTGATAGTACAAAGGGTAGAGTGCTTGATTTGCACATGGCTGACTTTCGTTTGATCCCCGGCACTTGATATGGTCCCATAAGCCTGCCAGGAATTATCTTTGAGTGCAGAACCAGAAATGAACCCTGTGCTCTTCTGGGTGTGACCAAACAAACAATAAAAAAGGAAAGGAGCATTTTTCTCTTTAGTGGAATAGAACTGAAGAATTTTTTTTTTCTTCTGATGACTCTGAGCTATAGCACAGTGGGTAAGGCATTTGCCTTGCATGCAGCCAACATGGCCGACCCAAGTTCGATTCCTCTGCCCCTCTCGGAGAGCCCGGCAAGCTACCGAGAGTCTCTCGCCCCCACGACAGAGCCTGGCAAGCTCCCCGTGACGTATTCGATATGCCAGACACAGTAACAACAAAGTCTCCAGTGGAGACGTTACTGGGCCTGCTCAAGCAAATCGATTAACAATGGGAGGACAGTGGCAGTGACAAAAATTCCCTTTTGTTTTCTGTCTTAAGGACTGCAGATGTGGGATAGGGGAGGGGTCCCCAGCAGCCTTTGATGAGCCAGTTGTTCTGTGTGGCTGTAGTTTTTCTTTTTTTGGTGGCTGTGGGGGTTTGTTTTGGTGCCACACCCAGTAATGCTCAGGGGTTACTCCTGGCCATGTTCGGGTGACCATATGGGATACTGGGGATTGAACCCAAGCTGGCTGTGTACAAGGCAAGCACCCAACCAGCTGTACTGTCACTTTAGTCCATAGTGTTTTTTTGTTGTTGTTGTTTGTTTTATGCTTTTTGGGTCACACCCGGCAATGCACAGGAGTTAGTCCTGGCTCATGCACTCAGGAATTACTCCTGGCAGTGCTTGGGGGACCATATGGGATGCTGGGAATCAAACCTGGGTCGGCTGCATGCAAGACAAACGTGCTATTGCTCCAGCCCCAGTTTTTCTTTTTTTAATACACAAGTGTACCTAGATTTAATGATCTTTTCTTGTTTTATGGGTTATTGTAGTTGAAAATACAATTTGTTCCCCTGAATTAATTTTGTTGATTTCAGTTTTCTTAAGTATTTAATAGTGTTTAAAATACTATTAAATTGTGACAAATCAATTGATTCACTAAATTGTCAGGTCATTTGTTTCAAGATGACTAGTAGAATGCTATTATCTACTTTATAAAATCTCACATTGCCAACTCTTCTTGATTAAAAGTAGATCTTTTCAAAATACATTTATTTTCAAGCTTGAGTTTCCTTTTTCCCTTTCCTCTTCAGAGTATTGACCCTAATCTTTAATATAGTCAAGGGGGAAAGATTCTTCTAAATAAGAGACTATTGCATTAGCTAACACAGGCAAAGGTAACAAGGCTATATGAGAGGAACATCATATATTGGATATTTTTGGATTGAGGAAATGTGACTTTATTGTCCATTTATAAATTTATAAATGTGCCTTTATATTCGGTAATGTTTTGTCTAGTACTATTATAGGTGCTCTTTAGAGGCAGGTAGCAGTAAGACTGCCTTCCTTTCATATACCTCAGACTTTCAAAAACAGCAATTTCAAGAATAATGATCACACAGTACTTCTAAGAAATTGTCATTGAACATGCTGTAACTTGGGAGATTTTTGTGCATATTCAGTCCTTTAAAATCTAACTCAAAGTAAAGTGCTTGCCTTGTATACACCTTGCCCAGGTTCTATCTCTATTGCTACAAAGGGTCCTATAGCACTTCCAGGAGTGATCCCTAAGTGAAAAGTCAGGAGTAAACCATGAGCACTGCCTTATGTGGTCCACAGAAAAACAACTCTGCCCCCACCCCCCAAAATCTCAGGTTATGAATGTTTGAGTTAAACCTGCCTCGAGCAGGCCCCAGTAACGTCTCTTTCATCCTAGCCCTGAGATTATATTCAAGGCTCTTTAGGAGAATGAGACCCATCATTGTTACTGGTATTTGGCATATTTGGTATGCCACGGGGAGTTTGCCAGACTCTGCCCTGTGGGCAGGCTACATTCGATAGCCTGCAAGTTTGTCCAAAGTAGGAATGAGATAATAAGATGTCATAAAAAGATGTCCTGATAAGATAAAGTTCCGGGAGTTGGATTTTTTGGAGTTAAACCTGCAAATTTATAATTTCAAATTTAACACCCTGACAATTGATTAGTCACACTTACTAGTATTTTAAATAATAATTAGGAAGATTGAAAGCAAAGTATTAAAATAATATTTATTTAAAATTATCCTTAAGATTGTTCATTCTAAACTGACTGTAAAAAGGAGGATGAGAAGATATAAAAGGGGATATTAATATTAAATAGTGTTCCTTTCATCCCTGTCATTGAGTCGGTTCTGCATTCAAATATACCACATTTACTGTAGTAGAAAAGCACATGCTTGGTATTTTAAGGTAATATCATCACTGTTTTCCAGTATCTCTGTGAGTGCCAATTTGATGACAATCTCAAGTTCAAGAATATTATCAATGAGGAGGATGCTGATACCATGCGACTCCAGCCAATTGGCCGAGACAGAGATGGCCTTATGTATTGGTATCAGTTGGATCAAGATCATAATGTCAGAATGTACATAGAAGAACAAGATGATCAAGATGGCTCGTCATGGAAATGCATTGTCAGGTATCTTAATGCTTTTTACATATTTGTACTTCTTACTTTAATCTCTTTAGTATTAGAACATAATTTCTTTTTTCTTTTTATGTAGGAGTACTGTTATTTATTCAACCATTGATTAAGTTTATTGAAGTGGTCATAAACCTCACATTACTTTTTAAAAAATTTTTTAATTGAATATCTGTGAGATAGACCATTACAAAGCTGTTCATAACTGGGCTCCAGTCATACAATGATCCAACACCCATCCCTCCACCAGCGTACATTTCCCACCACCAGTATCCCCTGTTTCCCTACCACCATACCCCAACACCCTACTCCCTAATTCCAGCCTCCCTCTATGGAAGGCACTTTCCTTCTTGCTCTGTCTCTCTCCTTTTCCTTTTGTGCATTATGGTTTACAATACATAAGGTGCTAAGAGGTCATGATGTTTGTTCAGGACTTTCAGTATTTTTATCGGGATGGTAAGGCTGGAGTAGCTTTTCAATTGGGTGGCTGCTTTGGGGTGTGGATATGACTGCCGAAGCTTCCGGAAGTACAGGGAGGTGGTGGAAGGTAGGCCATCCTGACCCTGAGAAAGCCTGGAGATTTCGGTCACAAAACCCAGATACCAGAATTTTCAGCAGATTATATCTTGTTTTTGTTTTTGTTTTATAAGTTTATTGAATCACCGTGAGAGCAGTTACAAAGCCTTCAGGTTTAAGTCTCATTCATACAATGATGAAACACCTGTCCCTTCACCAGTGCACATTTTCCACCACCAAAAATCCCAGTATACCCCCATCTCACACCCTCCCCCTACCTGTGTGACATATGATTTCCACATTACTCTCTCTCTACTTTGATTACATTCAATATTTCGACACCAGACCCACCATTATTATTTGGGATTTTATACCAACACTCAGATCTGCCGAAAAGGCAACATTAAACAATTTGTTTTCTATTGCTGATTCTATTGGTGAATAGCATATGATGTTGCGCAGTCGCAGTAACAGCCACGCGATTTTGGAATTCTGAAATTTTGATCATTAAACCTGGAGGGATTTCTGCAGAAAGCTGCTGGGTTATAAGATTTGTTTCTGAGTGTCTGGGGTCATGGCGTAAATAGCTTATTGAGTAGCCAGAGGGCCCATTCGTGGGTAGCGACTTGGGATCTCGTTGGGCCAGGGAGGAAGGAGCCGGCTCCATCCCCATTCCATGAGGCCCCGCGTGTCTTGTCACTGCAGGCCCCTACCTGACTATCCAATGGCCTCTGGAAGATGGTGGACCCCTAGCTGCCAGGGGAAACAGGCAGTGGGACAGCACCTTTTTCCCCCTGGGGTGGCCTGGGGGCTGGTAACCTAATGCGGAGTCTGGACGCATTTCTGCCAAAAGCCGCTGGGTTCCAAGATTTGTTTCTGAGTCTCTGGGATTATGACTTAAGCAGCTTGATCAGTAGCCAGAAGACCCCTTCGTAGGTGGCCAGCAGATTATATATTGGTGAGATCCGTCCTGAGATGGTGGAGTCAGCTCAGGGGTATGCTGATGATTTTAGATTTTGGGAGCAAGCCCCTGCAGGGCCTCTGCTTGGGCGGACACCAGGCTGACCCGCCCCCCTCCTATTTACCCCAGTCTGTTCAACCTTGTGCAGGTCCAAGGTTAATCATGATTTTTGATCTGTTTTGAGATTTATTTATGGGTCTCTGAAGCAAGGCCAGTAGTAGAGCTTACATGTTGGCGCTAGAGTTGGTTCATGGGGGTGACTGCCAGTGCTTCCAGGAGTATTGGGAAATGGGGAAAGGTAACCCATCCAAACTTCGAGAAAGCCTGGAGATTTCAATCATAAAGCCCACATACTTGAATTTCCAGCAGATTATATCTTAGTGAGGTCCGTCCTCAGATGGTGGAGTCAGGCCAGGGGTATGGTGGCGATTTTTGGATTGTGGAAGCAAGCTGGGGGCTCTGCTTGGGTGGGCTCCAGGCTGACTCACCCCCGCAACCCCCATCTACCTGGTCTCTTCAGCCATGCACAGGTCCCAGATTAATTGTGGCTTTGGCTCTTTCTAGAGATTTATTTATGGGTCTCTGAAATAAGGCCAATAAATGATCTTGTATAGCTGAGCCTCAGCCACAAACCTAACTTTTGGCCATTCTTAAACTTGGTCTCAAGTTCTTGGGGTCTGCCCAAAGGCACAGTAGCAATTTTGGGGTGTCAGGAAGCCTGAAGGCACCATCAGGCAGTTGATGTACATGGCTGTTGATATGCTTGTGGCACTGTACCTTCATAGAACATAATTTCTGATGTGGAAGATTCGTGAGATTGGGAGACATCCAGGACATATTTGATAATACCTTGCATAATATTGTAGTATGAGCTTTGTTATTTATCAATTTTTAAAATATTTGGTGGTTCGGCAGAGTCTGGCAAACTCCCTGTGCCGTACCCAATATGCCAAATACCAGTAACAATGATGGGTCTCATTCTCCTAAAGAGCCTTGAATATAATCTCAGGGCTAGGATGAAGGAGACGTTACTGGGGCCTGCTCGAGGCAATCGACGATTAACAGGATGATTTGTGATTTGTGATTGGTGGTTTGGGACTTTAGAAAGCTATCCTCGTAGCTCATTGAACAAATAAATTTTGTTACTTGAATATGGCAAAATATATATTATCAAAGAAATTCATGAAATTCATCTACCTACCCCAACCAATACATTCAGGGGAAACCCAAAGTTCAAATGTCATGGTTGTACCACCTCTCTCCTAGAAAATTGTAAAGTGGCACTGTAGCACTGTAGTAAAGTGGCAAATAAGAAAAATTTGCGTATTTGATTTTCTGCATAAATTTAGTACCAGCTCAAGGATTGCTCCTGGCAGTGCTTATGGAACCATATTTGGTGCCTGGGATTGAACCCAGGTTGGCTGTTTGCAAGGCAGGCACCCTACTTGCTTCACTGTCTCTCCAGCCCCAGAAGAGGAGTTTAAAGATAAGGTGAATAAAAGTGAAAATGTAACTTAACAATATTTCCCCTTAAAAATTTATAGGGAGCTACAAGAGGTGGTTCAGTGCGTCAGCCATTTTCCTTAATGTGGCCAATTTGGGTTCAATTCCTGCGATCACATATAGTCCCTCAGACCTACCAGGTGTGATCCCTGAGTGTATTAGCCGGGGTAAACCTTTAGCACCACTGGCTGTGGCCTCAAAACAAAAGAAAATAAAATTTAAAGTGGGAACAAGTGCCTAGACAGAAATTTATAGCATCAAATTCATAGACTGAATAATCCAATTCAAAAGATCATTCAAATCTAGTCCCTAGCCTGGCTAATGTAAAATGGTAGATTATAGAAATTACTGTAAATAATGAATGTCAGAAATTAAAGGATACATCGTACCAGATTCTGCAGACATTAAAAGGATGGTAAGGAAACTATGGACTACTTTGTTTATAATTGGTTCTAGTTATATTCCATCTAATTTTAGCCAGAAGAAATAGGCAATGTTAACAGACTTTTTTTTTTTTTAATTGCTTTTTTGGGTCAGAGCGATAGCACAGCAGGTAGGGCGTTTGCCTTGCATACAGCCAACCCCGATTCTATTTCTCTACCCTTCTTGTAGAGCCCGGCAAGCTATCGAGAGTATCCTGCCCACACGACAGAGCCTGGCAAGCTACTCATGGCGTATTTGATATGCCAAAAAGCAGTAACAAGTCTCAATTATTGTGAGATGTTACTGGTGCCCGCTCAAGCAAATCAATGAACAGCGGGTGGACAGTGCTACTATGCTTTTTGGGTCACACCTGGCCATGCACTCAGGAATTACTCCTGGTGGTGCTTGGGGGACCATATGGGATGCTGGGAATCGACCCCAGGTCAGCCACATGCAAGGCAAACACCCTACCCTCTGTACTGTCACTCTAGCCCCTATTGGACTTTTTTTTTTAAAGAAATTGGATCCATTATTAACTTTCTGCAACTGGCCAAGATACATTTACTAATTAAATTTACGAAGCAAAATTAAACCAATTCTCTTTAATCTTTTTCAGAGAATAAAAGGAGAGAGAATATTTCCTAATTCATTCCCTGTGACTTGCATTATTCTAATTCCAAAACAGTATACTACTACCAAGTGAGATTTGTCCCAGGTAGACCAGACTCCTTTAACATTTGAAAATAGAAATGTGTTGGGGCCAGAGTGATAGCACAGCAGTAGGGCGTTTGCCTTGTACGCGACCGGCCAGCTGGCTGAGCCAGGTTCAATTCCTCCGCGATTCCTCCTCCCTTTTCAGAGAGCCCGGTAAGCTACTGAGAGTATCTCGCCCATATGGCAAAGCCTCACAAGCTACCCGTGAAGTATTCGATATGTCAAACACAGTAACAAGTCTCACAGTGGAGATGTTACTGGGCTCACTCAAACAAATCAGTGAACAACGGGAGGAATAGTACTACAGTTTCCAACCTGGGTTCGATCCCCAGCATCACATATGGTCTTTCATCAACTCCCTGAGCACAGTGCCAGGAGTAATTTCTGAGCACCACCAGGTATATCCCCAAAGCCCATCATCTTCATAATAATAATCACTGAGAATATGATCCATCACATCGTTAGTTCAGAGAAGAAAAGTCAGGGCTGTCATTTACAATAGATACAGAAAATCTATTTGACAAAGTCTAGCACACATAATGATTTGTTTCAGAAAAACTTCAGTAAACCAAGAACAGATGGTAACTTGCTCAGCTTTAGAAAGTTTAGGTACACAAAAAACTAATGTTTTTTCTTAGGAAGCTCAGGAACAAGGCATAGATGGTTCTTTCACCATTCCAGAAATTATTAAGTCGCTATAGTAGATTTGGCGGTATAAGATTTAGATACAAATGTCAGTTGGTAATATTAGTAAAAATGTGAAAAATTGTTTTCTTTTGTGTAGTTTTTTTGGGGCCACACCTGGTGGTGCTCTGGCTTACTCCTCTCTCGTGCTCAGGGATCACTGTTGGGAGTGCTCAGAGATCAAATGTGGGTGGAA